CAGGTGGGAGGCCCCCTGGTCACCAGCAGCCTACCAGTGGGGAAGTGGCAGCACTTGGCATGCAGCATGTCTGGAGCCCTCTGGGTTGTTGGCACTGAGCTCACGCCCCAAAATAGTCCCTTGGGGCCAACCTGTGTGGGTGGCAGCTGTCCTGAGCATATCCCCACCTCTTCCCACTCTGTCACTCAGCAAGGGTTTGGGGGGCACAAGCAGTGGTGGGGCAGGCAGGGATTCTGGGGGGTGGAGCAGGGACATGGCCAGGCTGGCATGTGTCCCCTGTCTCTAGGACCTGTCCATGGCAGCATGAGCTACAACCATCATGAGCAGTGAAGGCAGCATCCCACAGCATCGCTTCCAGTGATCCCCTGTCACCCCACAGGCACATCCTTGGGTGTGCAGAAGGGCTGTCCCCCTGGAACGCTCACCGCTGGCCAGGCTCCAGGATGGATTTGTGGCTCTCGCAGGCATCCCAGTCCTCCAATATGTGTTGGCCTGACTTGGCATCAGGCTCTCACCCAGGTACCAGCTAGGCATAGGGCCCCTCTAAGCAGCCAGCAAGGACAGTGAGTGGGTGTGGCACAGCAGCAGCCCTGGCCTCATCTGGGCAGCTCAGGGCCATGGGAGCTCTGACACCTCTGGCATAGGGCTGCAAGCACATACCCCACACCCCCCTCCACTGTGTCCTCCAGGCTGGAGTACAAGCAAGGGATAGTGGCACAAACACCAGGGGAGGGACATGCAACCAAGATGATTGAAGGATTGGAGCATCTCCCTTATGAGGAAAGGCTGAGAGAGCTGGGACTCTTTAGCCTGGAGAAGAGAAGGCTGAGGGGAGACCTTATTACTGCTTACAAATATCTAAAGGGTGGGTTGAAGGAGGATGGAGCCACGCTCTTCTCAGTGGTTCCCAGTGACAGGACGAGGGGCAATGGGTGCAAGTTGGAACATAGGAGGTTCCGTTCCAACACACGGAAAAACTTCTTTACAGTTAGGGTGACAGAGCAGTGGCACAGGCTGCCCAGGGAGGGGGTGGAGTCTCCTTCTCTGGAGATTTTCAAAACCCGCCTGGATGCAGTCCTGAGTCATGTGCTCTAAGCAATCCTGCTTTAGCAGGGGAGTTGGACTAGATGATCTCTAGAGGTCCCTTCCAACTCTGAAAATTCTGTGATTCTGTGATTCTATGGGGTGCGATTTGCCCCAGTCCCCTAAATTTCCCCTGCCAGAGTAAGGGGTTATTTTGGCAGGCAGGTTTGGGCAAGCACATGTGGGGGCTTGGAGCTGAGACACTGCAGTCACAAGGCACCAATGTCTCTGTGGGGACCCAAATCCGGCTGAGATGGAGGCGGGCAGGGAAGCCCCAGCCTGACTTCTCAGGGAGCCCAAGGGCGGGGTGAGGCACTGAGGCACGGGTTGCACCCGGGAAGTTCCTGTTAGATGGCAGGACAAGCCTTTCCCCAGGAGGAGCAGTCAGACCCTGGAGTGGGGCATGGAGAGTGGAGCCCCATCCTTGGAGACCTTAGCTGGGGTGGGACTGGGCATGGGGAAGCAATGGGAGGGATGTGCATCCACACCCCTCTGCATCCCCTTGCCCTGGAGGCTACGCCAGAGGATGGCTTTGAGGGCAGACTCATGGGCCTAGGCACCTGCATGGCCCCATCTGTGCTAGTCAGATGTGACCCTGATGCCTGGAGCAAAGGGGAGCGGGCAACAAGGGGGAAACCACTCCTTCAGGGGGGACATTCGAGGGCTGAAGCTTTGCCTTGCCCTTCCTAGCTGCTCACACCATGCACATCATCGTCTTTCCCCTGAGTGCTGAGCTCATGAAGTTGCTCTGGGCTGAAGCATCTCACAGAAAGCCATCCATCCTCACCCAGGAATGAGGGGAGATGCATCTTCCCCCTCCCTTCAGAAGCCACATGCTGGGCAGTTACTGACTCTCCTTGTCCAAATATGTGCCTAATCCATCAGTGTTAATAGCTGCTCTCCAGAGTCCAGCAGTGGCTCTTCTGCTGCTTTCTCCACAGCACCAGAAGCCTCTCAGTCCTCAGCTGCTCCTGTCCCTCCTATGCCCCCCCTGCAACCCAGGGCTGAGGGTTCCTAAAAAGCCACTTTCTCCAGCTCTCAAAGACTTTTTGCTCCTCTCTGCTTGGAGCACTGGTGTTGAAAAGTTGCAGCAGGCGAGGGCTGGATGCGGTCTTGGGGTGATGGGCTGGGGGAGCCCCCCTCCCCCGGTCCAGAGTCCTTCCTGCAGCTGGGAATGCACCAGAAGCATTTACAAGTGTTAATAAAGTGCATGTTATTTTTGGAGGAGCTGGGATCTGAAAGGTTTGCTTTCTTTTTGCCTGTGAAATACAGTTTATTTAGAGCAGAAAGACAGAGCAGGGCAGCGGGCTGCCCATGTGCCCTGTGTCACCCTGGAACACCACCCTATGGGCTGTGCATGGGCCAGGTGTCCCCGTGGGTGCTAGGAATGGTGGCACCAGGGTGCAAAGCAGTGGGGAGATGGGTGCTAGGGAGCCTGCATGGAGCTGAGGCCCTCCCGTACTGCCATGACGCAGGAGCTGGACAGGGAGGCTGGAGGCTCATCTCGCTTCTTTCCCAGAGGATTTTCCCCATGTGGGCAGTGCCAGCCCATGGTGTCCCCAAGTACAATCACAGCCCATGTGTGTCCCTGAGCACAGTCAGCCTGTGAGTGTCCCCAAGACTGCAGTGCCAGCCCATGGGTGCCCCCAATTGCTGTGCCAGTCCCTGAGGAAAAGCCAGTGCCAGGAAGCAGAGTCCCTCAGGCTTCAGGGTGCAGTGACAGGGTGTGCCTAGGACAGTGCCAGCCATGTGGTATCCTCTAGCACAGGGACAGCTCTAGCTAGAGCAGAAGCAGGTCTCAGGCCCTGGGGGTGGACTGCTGGTGGTGTCCCTGGGGCATGGTAACAGCTCACTTTCAGCCCATGGGTGTCTCAAGTGCAGGGCTGGCCACAGGATGTCCCCCACAGTGGTGAGAGGCAACAGGGTGTCCCCCTAGCCCAGTACCACCAGGGTGTCCCTCAGGAAGTACCACCAGAAATGCCCCTCCTGAAGTGCTCCGGGGTGCCCCGGGGTGTCCCTAGTGCAATACACAGAATCACAGAATGGTCAGGGTTGGAAGGGACCTCTGGAGATCATCTAGTCCAACCCCCCTGCCAGAGCAGGGTCACCTACAGCAGGTTGCACAGGACGGCGTCCAGGCGGGTTTTGAATGTCTCCAGAGTGGGAGACTCCAC